GCTTATCAACTCAGCCTTTATCTATGATGTGTGAAGTCTGAGGAGAGTAATGCTTATCAACTCAGCCTTTATCTATGATGTGTGAAGTCTGAGGAGAGTAATGCTTATCAACTCAACCTTTATCTATGATGTGTGAAGTCTGAGGAGAGTAATGCTTATCAACTCAACCTTTATCTATGATGTGTGAAGTCTGATGAGAGTAATGCTTATCAACTCAACCTTTATCTATGATGTGTGAAGTCTGAGGAGAGTAATGCTTATCAACTCAACCTTTATCTATGATGTGTGAAGTCTGAGGAGAGTAATGCTTATCAACTCAACCTTTATCTATGATGTGTGAAGTCTGACGAGAGTAATGCTTATCAACTCAACCTTTATCTATGATGTGTGAAGTCTGAGGGGAGTAATGCTTATCAACTGAACCTTTATTTATGAGAAGTGAAGTCTGAAGAGTGTCATGCTCAGCCTTTATTTATGATGTGTGAAGTCTGAGTAGAGTAATGCTTATCACATTAAATCCTTATCTATGATAAGTTGAACTAACTAAGAAGGAGAACATCGTTATTGTTGATAAAATAAAACACTTCTCATTAATACAAAGCAAATTAACTGAAAACAAGAACAAAGCAAAACAACAGAGAGTAAGAGTTTCAGTACGGAAAAGTTATATCAATATCCACCTACAATAAGAAAAGAGACAACAGTACTTACTCTCTTCCATAATGGAAAGGTCTGTAAAGAACCTGTAATATTAACAATCATAATTAGCTTTGTGTTAGTTACAATGCAAAACAAACATATCATAAGAACCTGTAATATTAACAATCATAATTAGCTTTGTGTTAGTTACAATGCAAAACAAACATATCATAAACCACTTCTATTTCAAGAAAAACATTTTCTTCTGTAGTTTATAACATTCTAACATTAACAGTTTCATTTTCAGTTAACTTACTGCTTATGTATCATTTTATTACAACTTACAGCTTTAACAATAAGGAAAATCATTTTTAGAATAGATAGAATGTTTTGACCACTGGTGCATTCATTCTCAAGTTTTAACAATAACCAAAGTTTTGGTTATTATTATTCTACTATAATTAATTTACCATTAGTAAATCGGTAACACATGAACATATGTCCCTAACATTATTGTACCCTGTAATACATGTACAAATATACCTGTATATTGACCTTTAGAAAATTTGGGCAGAATATCCCCATAGGCGCTTGCCTGCTCAAAATTCCCCCTATCAATGGTCACAGTGAAAATCCAAAACATAATCACATAAGATACTACGGAGAGTTCTTAGTTCATTTGATCTATTATCGCTTTGGTAAACATCTTTGAATAGATAAGGCTCTTCAATTGTCTTGCTCAATAGAAAGGTACACAAAAGAATGACCATATTTTCTAAAGCACATTTTTGAGATAAAATCTCGTTCACATGACATGAAGTTTGCATTATAAGCATACAAGGTCTCGTACACGCCAGCAAGCATTGCGAGACTACAAAATGGTGGCGCCCTGTCGCCGAATGTAAACAAACCGTGCGATTGCATAAACTCTTATTTATGGCATGGAACACCAAAATCCGATAAATAATTTTAAAAAATTTGATTCTCCAGAAGGTTTTCAGGATTTTTTAGAAATATCTGGATTTCCAGATATATCCGGAAGACTTTCATTATTAAATTAATAAGATGCAAAAAGCAGACAATTTCCCCTAACTATCACAATTTTTCTGCCTTTCTATCTATGCGACAAAAACATGTTACAAATTCATCAAAGCTAGTTGTTACCTTTCCCGTGGGAATGAAGCTTGTACTAACTGAGAAATTTACAATTATCTGTTCATAAATATACATAACATAATACATCATTTGATAGATGAAAACCTTGGCTTTCTATTGGTTATACATAATATAGAATTAAACATAAGAGAGAACTATTAATAAATCCTGAAAGAGAGGAT